AACCGGGAAGAAAACATGTTTCAATAATTCTTTTTCTTGTACTATTGGCAAGGAGAACCATTTGCCCTCACACAATATTTTGTATATTTTTTCTAACGGAATAGATAAGTCTATTTTTTTTTCTTTCTGTTCCCTTTTATTTTTTTCATCTCCACTATTCTAACGCACGATGTATTCAAGGATATTTTTTTCTATAGTTCTTTAATAAGAAATGATGTATCACAACCTAGACAAAAACAGAATTATTTTATTTGATTATTTGAATTTGATGAAGAATGATTGTATGTTGATCTATTTGTATTCTAATACAATGAACGATAGTTATAATTGCAAAGAAATTAGAAATATTCTTTGCAAAAGGTATTCATAGAGGTTTTCTCTCAATTTCCTTTTTCCTTTTTTTTCATAAGAAATTATTTCTCATGTGTATTATAAAATCTTTTTCTTTTCTCATACTTCAGTACTCAGACACTAAGAGTATTCGTTGAACATGACTAATAGAAATCATACAAAGTTCATTAGAGAGATTTTTTAGTAATACTTGATTGTTTAAGCAATAAAGTAATGATAAAATGTCAAAGAATGCCTTGTAGTGTGATTTTCTTTAACTAAATGAATAGTATCGGTTTCAAACGAGTTTACAGCCATTTATCATTTTTGTATGAAAACGATGTAAAAACATGAGATTTAAGGCAAAAATGTAATGAAAATCATATTTTAATAAAAACGAAAATTTTCGATCTTAATCGATCATTATCAGCCAGATAAAACACAAACAAAATACAAGTATGGTGTGGGTGTGGGTGTGGGTATGAGTATTATATCCATCATATACCCGCACTCACACTCACCCCAAAAAACAATATCAAACTTTATGCCGCATTTCGTAGAGATAAACAAACAAAAAAAACTTTAATAAACGCACTTTTTTATTATAGAAGAGAGCAGATAAAACTTGATTTTCTGATAAAATTTATCTGTTGTGCGTTTTTTCCATCGTATACTTATGTTTCACTTCATTTTCAGTCACTTCTATGACGAATATTACAGAAAATGATGTACAACACAATTCTCTTTTACCAGTTGTATTTGTCGCGCTGGCTGAGTAAGGACTATAGTGCTTTTTTTATTCGTTTGTTATAAATCTACCATTTTCGTAATGACCTCTTTCGATGTTTTTATACAGCACTACATAATATTTCGTATGTTGTTTTGTTGAGTAGTAACGAAAAAAAACTTATAAGAACGATAAATAACTACTAATTTAAATAATTTCCTCTGTGTTTCATATATTTAGCCATAGAAAGAAAGAAATATAAATATTTTGTGTTTGAACAGCAATATTTTGTCAATTTTTACAAATTATAATGTCTACGATATTATAACTATTTTCAGCTTTTGAGTGTTTGATAACATGAGAGTAGAAAGAAAAAAACCTTAGAGATTTATTTTCTCTTCGTCAAAATACTTAGTAAAATTTATTTTTGCGGATTCTGTTAATGACTGACAAGTGTAAAAGCACTTAACCGGTTCTTATTCGTTTTCTGCTTATTAATGAGAAATGTATGTGTTGATCTTTGTTTGATTTCATAATAAACATCTATAATTTTCAATGAAAAAGGCGTTGGTGTCCAATTCAAAAACAAATCTAAATAGAAAGTAGAAACACTATAAAATGAGCTATTTTAATCATTCTTTCACTCTTAAAGTTTTTCAAGCTACTCAAATACAACACATTCTTAGTACAAATAGCAAATAATCAGAACCAATGGCAACTAGTCAATCAAGTGGCACAAGAACAAGTAACCCATCATCTGGTCTCTGCACGCGTGTTACTGCAAACCGACGTATATATATGGAAAAAATAGAAAATGTCTTCCTTATTTGGTTAGACAACAATATTAATGAAAATAATACTGATTGTAGTAATACTATCAAGCAATTGAAACGAGTAGTTAACAACATAAACACGTTTACAGATGGTGAAGAATGCATTGAATTTATTCAAACCATTACTAACAATAAAGTATGCATGATTGTCTCCGGGTCACTTGGAAAATATATTATGCGTCATGTGCATGACATGTCCCAAGTGGATACCATTTTTATTTTTTGTAACAATCAAGAATGCCACAAACAATGGGCCACAGAATGGCCTAAAATAAAAGGAGTCTTCACAGATATAACATCGATCTGTGAAGCTCTTAAACAAACCGCTCATCAATGTGAGCAAAATGCCATCTCAATCAGCTTCGTAGCATCAAACAAAAAGCTGGATCAATTAGATCCATCTTTTATGTATACTCAGATCTTCAAAGAAATCCTAATAACCATTGACTTCAAAAACAGACATTTTGAAGAATTTATTACTTATTGTCGTGATACATTTCTCGAAAATGAGTATGAATTACATAATATTGAAAAATTAGAACGTGACTATCATAATCAAACACCTATTTGGTGGTATACTTATCAATATTTTTTATATTCGATGCTTAATCAAGCATTAAGACAAATGGATGTTGATATTATTGTTCGAATGGGTTTCTTTATTAGTGATCTACATCATGATATTCAACGACTCCATTCAGAACAATTTTATGGTCGAAAATCCAATAAAATATTTACAGTTTATCGTGGACAATGTCTTTCAAAAGAAGATTTCACCGAAATGACAAAAACAAAAGGTGGACTTCTTTCATTCAATAACTTTTTATCGACTAGTAGAAATCGTGATGTTTCTCTCTGTTTCGCACCACACGCTGCAATAAGCCCTGATCTTGTTGGAATTTTATTTGTTATGTTAATTAATCCAACTGATTCAACCACTCCATTTGCTTCTGTTAGTGATGTTAGTTATTTTCATACAGAAGATGAAGTTCTCTTTTCTATGCATACCATTTTTCGCATTGGAGATATTAAACCAATGGATGGAAATAATTATCTCTATCAAGTGAATTTAACATTGACCAGTGAAAATGATCAAGACCTTCATACTCTTACTGATCAGATCCGACAGGAGACTTTTCCAGATAAAGAAGAATGGTACAGATTAGGTCAGTTGCTGATTAAAATGGGTCAATTTATCAAAGCTCAAGAAATTTATAAAGTTTTACTTAATCAAATAACAAATGAGCGTGACAAGGCACTGATCTATTATCAACTAGGTTGGATAAAAAATAATCAAGGAAAATACCAAGAAGCACTTTCATTTCATGAAAAAGCCCTTGCAATTCGACAACAATTACTTCCTTCCAATCATCCTGATTTGGCTGATTCCTATAACAAAATCGGTAATGTGTATAACGACATGGATGAATATTCAAGAGCACTTTCATCTCATGAAAAAGCCCTTGCAATTCGACAACAATCACTTCCTTCCAATCATCCTGATTTAGGTACGTCCTATAACAACATCGGTAATGTGTATTATAACATGGGTGATTATCCAAAAGCACTTTCTTATTATGAGAAAGATCTTAAAATTCTACAACAATCACTTCCTTCCAACCATCCTCATTTAGGTGGTTCTAATAGCAACATTGGTTTGGTGTATTTCAGAATTGGTGATTATCCAAAAGCACTTTCTTATTATGAGAAAGCCCTTGTAATTCAACAACAATCACTTCCTTCCAATCATTTTCATTTGGGAGATTCTTATAACAACATCGGTGCGGTGTATTACAACATGGGTGATTATCCAAAAGCACTTTCATCTCATGAAAAAGCCCTTGTAATCCGTCAACAATCACTTCATCCCAATGATACTGATTTGGGCACGTCTTATAACAACATCGGTAATATGTATAATGACATGGGTGATTATTCAAAAGCACTTTCTTATTTTGAAAAAGCTCTTGCAATTCAACAACGATCACTTCCTTCTAATCATACTGATTTGGGTAGCTCCTATAACAACATTGGTTTTATTAATGAGAATATGGGTAACTATTCAAAAGCGCATTCATATTATGAACGTGCTATACTAATTGGGGAACAATCATTACCAACAAATCATCCGAATCTTGAACGATGGAGAAAAAACGTTGAAAACATAAAAACCAAATTATAGTTTCTTTCTGTATTTTTTTTGAAAGTAAAATAAAACTGATGAAAACGATAATGTGCCTACTGAAATTTTATTCTTTTTGAGAACGCAATATGGACAGTAACACCCACCGGTTAGGTAAATAATACATATATAGAGAAGATATATATTGTAGAAAAGATCTTCACGTTTACATTATTATGTTTGAACAAGTAGTGTTTCGTTGTGTTAGACAAGAAAGAAAGATACTCACCTGAAACATAGAAGAGTAGAAGAAGAGAAAAGCTTATTGTATCAATATAATGAGCTGTTCTTTGTGTTGCAATATCAAAGAATAGCTCGTACCATTGATAAACTCATCCATATTAAATGAATAGAATACCCGTATATATATATATACATATATATATAAAAGTAATTGAGGAACACAGTCAATACTTTCATATATAAACAAGTATATATGAAATTTCATTTATATACCCTATCAATTTTGAATTTTATCTTAGTCTCTATCTCAATGATGATATTGAATCAATTGAAAAGGAAGAGAAGAAAAATATAGAGAGAAACAATGACAAGTTTTGTGGACTGAAAAAAGTGAATGTAGCTTTGATAAGAGTATCAAGCTAAACTTTTTGATTATGATTATATCTGAATGGATTTCCAACTGCAAATCATTGTAGAGAAATTTTCAAACCAACTAAGGCAATAAAAAAATGAAGAAAATTTCATTTAAATAGTTATTCCGACTAGTTTTTTCCCGAAACAATAACAGGACTTTGATTATTTGAGAGTGTGAGTGTATCTACTTTATCTTCACCTACACCCACATCCTTAATTTTGACATCTGTGATATCAACTACAAAAAATATTGATTCAATAAACTCTTCGCAACTTTTATATTACATTTTACTTTAAGTTGTTATATTGACGATATTTATAATACAGACTATGGCGGTTTAATAAGATTAATATCAATTGATTAGCTTATGCACATTAATGTAGACATTAATAATACAATATCAGATTATTACTATGTCATTCTTTATTTTTATCTCTGTACACGTTTATGTGTTGACCCTTACAGCGCAATCTATACTGTAATTAGATACTTTTTCTATCGCACAGAATAAAAAATATCAGTTTTGAATATTTCAAATTGATTCATTCTGTAGGCATGGCGCATGTATTTCAGACTTGTTTATAAAGACAGCTTTATATCATTATTTCAATTTAAATGAAATTGTTCAAGTTTAACTACAAAAAGAATTGAAAAGAATTCTCTTTATTATTTCAATAAACATACTAATAATGTCATCCATTAATTGTGATTCATTAGGAACATACAATTTTTTATCGTTCATCGTTTGTGTTGATTTTTCATATTGTAATTGATTAATTAAACACATTGTCGTAGAATCTTTGAAATCTTTTTTCTGTTTATCCACCTGATTTCTATATACCATACATTGCATAAAAAATTTTGCGTCATCAAAACGTTTTTTAGCATGATCATAATGTTCAATTGAAAGTAAGCTCTCTTCATTTAATTTATTAACTAAATTATTACAATGAATATTGTCATTTTGAATCGATGATCTATAGATTGAGTTGATCCATTGGAGTAACATGATAAAACTTTATACACGTTCTAAAATATAAATCATCAAAAAGCGAGTTGGTATGCAAAATGTAGTGTGAAACAGTTTCATTCTCGCAATGTATAAATCATATTAATGAAAACAGAATTATTCGTATAAAATTCTTATTAATATTAGTTCTTTTTTCAAAAATAAACCTTATTGAATAGTTTCTTAATATCATAAAGTCATACTGTAAAACTCATTCATTTCAAATTAAGCATCTCCGCTTTTTCGATATATTCTAGTAATCACATACATATTATTGTCATTAGTATTTTAATTATTCTCAAAATATATCTTATACTTATTGTTTGAAAAATTAGAAAATCACCTTTGTTGAAAATATTGAACGAATGTAGCAATGTGTTGTGAAAAAAACTCTTTTATCTTGATTTCTTACTTATGATCAACTGTAGAAAGTGGCGCCTGACATCGTCTTGTTTTAGTTTTATCAGAAAATGATTGATATAGGTTTGATCTTGATATTTCACTTCGTAATTCATAATGACAAATTTAATGCGCACGACCACAAAAAATAATATACTTCTCATATCATTATTTTCGAATGAGTAAAACTAAATTCTTATAGAATACCAATATTTTCAACATAGTACTTCTATTTATAATATCTTTAAATTTTAAGATGTACATATAAGAAAAATATTATTATTTTATTCTTTTTATGATGGAAGAAAATAGATATAACGTTTTAATTTATTTCACAACACACAAACAGAGACTTTGCTTCGTAGACAGAATGAGGCTCAGCAACGGTGAAAAATAATGATTGTGTCAACCACCGTTGCTGCTGATACGTGAACGTAAACACTCGCTTACGAGCGTATTCATCGACCTAGATACTCGTTACGCATGAGAAGAGAAGAGGACAGAAGAAAAGACGAATATAAACATACAACGATCGAGGCTATATCAAAAGGAGAAGATTATATAAAGATGGTATGTTATAAAGACCTTATACTTATCGACACACTATACAATCGATTGACATTTATTTTATATGCATAGTAGTTATATCTCACCTTTTAACTGTTTTAATTAGTTCAAAACCTTGACACTTGAGCTACCATACCGGAAAGATTATACCCCCAATATAGCTTTTAACGAGAAAAGTTCTTATGAAAGAAGTCTTGATAAACCTTTTCATAAAAAATGAAATTAACTAGATTTACTCGGTACTATATTTTTTAATGGAGACTAATTCGTGTAATAATCCGCATATGGTCAGACTTCTCTATGCATTTTGTTCAATCATAAGATAATCAAAAACTTGAAGAACACCTTTGCTTCATTTTTTTTTGCACTTGATTCGATAGGTTTTTCAACAAATAAAAATATGTATAAAATAGTGCTGTATTATATTAAAATAATCCATATCAGGCTCATTTCTATTGCTTTCTCATTCTGGTATTATGAGAAGTCTTAAAAAATATTGTAAGATAAACAAAAACAATTTTTTTCTATTTTTTGAGATTTAAAAGATTATATGATTTTAATTTTTTTTCTTAACAAATGCATCTCAGCTTGTTTTATATTCTATTATCACATATGATATTCTTTTCTTATTTTTGTTCTAGTCAAATTTACACATCATATTATTCAGAATTTTAATTTAAGATGAAATTTTCATGTGAATGTAATTTTGTATCAGGAAAATACAATACATTTTTATTACGTTCTGTTATTATGATAATAATCATTTTTATTAGTTTCTGTATTATGAAAATAAAACTGGTACTATCAATTAATGTTATTATTTGAAAAAATCAAAATATTTCAAAAAGTCGAAATATTTCATTGGGACAAAATATTTCACCAGAACAAAAAACTGGATGTATCGTTTATGTTAACGGTACATCTGGTCGTTTTGGCAATCGAATGTTTCTAGTTGAAAATGCTTATGGTCTTGCTCGTCTTTATTCTTGTCATTTATATATAGAATTAAAAATGATCAATGAATTGAAATCAGTATTTATTCTGGATCTGTCCCCATTACTTATCTCATCATCGACATTTAATTCACTTACTAGTAACAGTTCAAAACCAATGAGTAGAATTAGTAAGGGTGTTGATTGTGAGTATATTACAAATTTAACTCGTCCGAATGCAATTTCGCCAGGAACGATATTTGAACTAAGAGGGTATTGGCTATCATATCTACATTTTGCTAAATATGATGAAGAACTTCGACAACGTATTTTTGTTGCATCGCAATCGACACTTAAGAATGTTTCAACTTTTTTCATTGAATTTTATCAACGACAACTAGGTTATAGGCCTCAATTTTTATTAGAAAATCATCAATCCTTTAAAAGACAGCTATCTCAATGAAATTCGACCACATGGATTGAAATTCATGTACGTCGTTCAGATTTTATAGGTTTACGTTATTCTTCAGGCGATGCTTATTTATTCGATGCTATTAAATATTATACTGCACGCTATCGAAATGCTCATTTTATAGTTACTAGTGATGATAAACCTTATTGTGAAAAGCTCTTTCGTAATCAATCAAATATTTTTCTTACACCTGAGACATATTCCACTGGTGGTGATCTAGTAATTCTTTCACTTTGTCAACATTCAGTTATAACTGGTGGAACATATGGATGGTGGACAGGTTATCTTGCTGGTGGAGAAGTAATACATGATAAAATTTATCCATCAGGATGTTCAAGACGTGAATATTATTATCCACCATGGTTTTTAATAGATGGAAATGTACGTGCACATAAATATGCTAAGTATATTTTATGATAAAATAATAGAAAAGTAAAAATTAGAATAACTACTATTATTCTATTTTTCTCAATAATAAATCAAACGATCAAGTATTAATAATAATTTATTTCTATCTTTGAATATTTATATCTTTGCAACAGCTAATTCAAAATCTTCTTGTGTTACATGAACACGTCATTCTCAAAGTGTATACATTCTTGCTTCAGTACAAACACCCTAGAAAAACCGAATACATATAATTTCTTGCTGTTTTTATTAGATTAATACCGCGTGTTAAATTCATTCTACGTGAATGAATTTTTAAACTCTTCAATGAAGAAAAAATAAAGAAATGAAAATATAAATTTCATTTATTTTACTTTATATTTTGTTTTGGTTCAAAATCATCTAGTTGATTAAGTAATTCTAACATTGTTCGTTGTACTTCACTATCACTATCTGAACTACCTTGAACACGTGTTGAATCAATTTCATCCATAAATATACTTGATAGTACATGTTTACTAAATTTATGAAAGATTGATTTTTAAAATAGAAAAAGAATTTCTTTTTCGTTTCCTACCGAGCCATAAAAAAATAATTCACGAACCATTCGTGAACTTTCATCAATAAATTTCTGAACTAATTCCGAGCTCGATACACGAATAAATATACATTCAATATGATGTGCAACTGCTCGAACTAAAAGAGTTTTACCAGTACATGGTGGACCATAGAGTAAAACACTCTGAATTATAATTTGATAATTTTATAAAAATAACATATTCTAAAAAAGACATCTTACTTTCGGTTGACTGATTATGTTTAAGTGATAATTCAATAACTTCTTTTATTTGTTTATCAAGACCACCAACCATTTCATAGGTAGAATCGGAAACTTTTTCTACCATCATTAAACTAACTAATGGATCAATCTTAAATCATATAAATATTTTAGAATAATAAATAAAATAGATTTTCTATTTGTTACTTTATTTGGTAATATTTTATGTAATGTATAACTATCATTTTTTAATGCAACACGACAACTTGGTGTTACTTTAACCATATCAATATTTTTTAATAAGATCAACAACAAATTTACCTTCTAGATGAACCTAAAAATAAACAAAAAGTTCAAAATTTTCATAATTACTTATGTCTCCGCTAAATTATGTGTTCGAATCGATCTCATCGAAATGAAGAATTAATATTAATATGGAACAAACAATGTTGCCGAAAAAGTTTGATTTTGAAAAAGGATTTCTTTTTGATTTTCTGGGGTTAGTACATCTCTGCCTGAAGTGGAATAGTTTCCCTGTGTAATAGGGAAATTGTGTAGCCCTCCAGTTGTTAAAGCAATGATCTGTCTTTTATCAATTATGACTCTTTTTCGACAACCGCCATACAATGTGACTTCAAAATATTATTCCTACTCATATATTATTTGGTGAATGATTATTTATTAAGAAATGTGAATGATTAAACAGTTTGATTATATATAAAAAAAATTAGGATTCAGTTCACAAAAGAAAATGCCATTCTGTCTGTATTGATTAATAAAGCTCAGCACTATTAAAAATATTGCCGCTCTCTCCACCAGCAACTAATACATATCCATTTCCTAATGTGGATGCTGCGTGATAATATCGTCCGGCATTCATGTTCCTGCAGTTGTCCAAGTACCTGTGGATGGATTGTACAGTTCAGCACTATTAAGAATACCATTGCCCACTCCACCAGTAACTAATACTGATCCATTTGCTAATATGGATGCTGTGTGATATGCTCGTACGGTACTCATATTTCCTGTAGTTGTCCAAGTGCCTGTTGATGAATTGTACAATTCAGCACTATTCTGATAACCACTGCCATATCCACCAGCAACTAATACTGATCCATTTGCTAATATGGATGCTGTGTGATAATATCGTGCGGTATTCATGTTTCCTGCAGTTGTCCAAGTGCCTGTTGATGGATTGTACAGTTCAGCACTATTAAGAACACCATTGGTGTTCTGTCCACCAGCAACTAATACATATCCATTTGCTAATGTGGATTCTGTGTGATATTGTCGTGCGACATTCATGTTTTCGGTAGTTGTCCAAGTACCTGTTGATGGATTGTACAATTCAGCACTATTCAGATAAGCACCGTTGTTTCCACCAGTCACTAATACTGATCCATTTGCTAATGTGGATGCTGTGTGATATATTCGTACGTTACTCATGTTTCCTGCAGTTGTCCAAGTGCCCGTTGATGGATTGTACAGTTCAGCACTACTGAAATAAACACCGGCGTTGTATCCACCAGTAACTAATACTGATCCGTTTGCTGATGTAGATGCTGTGTGATATACTCGTGCGGTATTCATGTTTCCGGTAGTTGTCCAAGTACCTGTTGTTGGATCATACAGTTCAGCACTACTGAGACAAGCACTGCCGTTGAATCCACCAGCAACTAATGCATATCCATTTGCTAATGTGGATAATGTGTGATATTCTCGTGCGATACTCATGGTTCCTGTGACTGTCCATTCTAAATAAGACAGAAAAGTAAGGGAAAATGTTATTCTTAAAATGTCTTCGAATCTTCCATATATATAAGTAAAATGTATTCCTCTGATACTGTTGCACAGGATAGAAATATTCAATACTAAAATGAGTGTAGATCAAATCAAATCATCAAAAATTGGTCTTATTCCGACTTCTGATAGAAAATGTTCCCTAATGTTGTCTATTTAGATGACAATCACTCAACAGTTAAAATCAAAACTTCTAAATATCGTCACTTGTATTAAACATCGCTTGAGTTAGTACAAATGATTTGACATAGTACTTACGTCGTATTGCTGGTGTTGTTGTTGAACTTGTTGATGATGTTGTTGAAGTTGTTGTTGATGTAGTGGATGATGATGATGATGTTGTTGTTGATGTAGTGGATGATGATGACGATGTTGTTGTTGAAGTTGATGTTGTTGAAGTTGTTGTTGATGTAGTAGATGATGTTGTAGATGTTGTTGTTGTTGTTGTTGACGTTGTTGTTGATGATGATGATGATGTAGTGGATGTTGTTGAAGTTGATGAGGATGTTGTTGTGGATATTGTTGTTGTTGTTGATGTTGTTGATGTTGATGTTGTAGTTGGTTCTATTTTACAAAAAATGATTTTAGGTTGAGACTAAACAGTTGGATAATGTTTATCTCTTAATTCGTTTCTTTTTCTGTTAAAAATATATTGACGTTAAATCTGAATTGATTCGAATAATAAAATAGGAAATATTGAAATGATATTTTTAAAATAGAATTCGAAAAATAAGATCATAAGATTTAAAAAGACTTTAGCTGAATGTTTTTTTACTGTCATTTTGAGGTGAATCGATTGGTCACTCACATACGGGTGTATCTAATATCTCTATCGAGTTGTCTTAACATTTCATAATTTGAAACTATTTTTGAAGAAGAAAATAACCTTTTCTTTCTCACAAATGTATTTTCTTTTAAATCTCTTCTACTTTTCTACTAACCCGGTGGAAATCGTGTTCCACTAATAACATTCATACTAGTAGCATCGACATCAGCCAGAATATTTCCATTTTGATTCAATATATCAGCAAATAATTCACAATTAGAAGTTGATCGATAAAACGTCGCTGCTTTACATTGACTTTGAGCTAGACAAGCTATTTGACAATCCTTAATATTTGATGTAATAACATTAAGGAATGGTAGACAAGTTGTATTAGCACATTGAAACTTGGAATCAATCATTAAAGACATTTCCAGTGATCTTATATCTTCTCCGACGGATTGTGTAATAATCATAAATAAAAACCATAAATAAACTCTTGTTAAAGCCATCACCAACCAAAGTGTAGGTTGGTGAAGTGAACATAACTCATAGAAGAGAAGGTATTTATAGAGCAATAAATTCTAGTTTTTCTGTCGCTTTTTTCTCTCTCTTTCTCTTTTTCTTTCCTATTCCGCCTCTCACTTTCTCTCTCTGTCACTGTCTCTGTCTCTGTCTCTGTCTCTGTCTCTTTCCCTTTCATTCTCCGCCTCTCACTTCCCTTTCTCTCTTTTTCTGATTCCATCTCATCACTCTGATAAGAAAAACAATCCTGACTATATTATTTTCACAAAAAGACATTCTTTCGGACGGACGCTTCTCCTACGCGTTTAAATGTTATTTGAGGATACATATCTTTTCAAATAGCGCTTTTGAGGTATATGTAAGATATAAAAAAAAGAAGGAATCTAAAAGTTCGAATTTGAAAAAAAAAGGTTTTCATCGTAATTCATTTCATTATGTCAATGTATAAACTAGATATGTATTCAAACTTATCCAACATATTAAACAATATGTATCAATCAATCATTGCACCATTTTCATATAGAACAAAGTCGATCTTTTGTATTTAAATGGAGAATAATCATATAAATTTTTTGATTCGACACGAGAATCAAAGAAAGCTGATTGGAACACTTCTCTAAAATCTAACATACTCGGCTTAGATTTTTCATCAAAGTGAAAATGATTCAACAGTTAAGATTCATACCTATATAGAATAGCGTGAATTGAGAAAAAAACATCCTATTCATCGCATAAATTAAAACAAACAGTATTTTTAATATTCTAAAATAGGTCAAATAATTGTTTATCATAACAACACATTTGAACGTACTTTTTTCTCAGTAAAAAACATTAATCGAGAAAATGTTTTTTCTTCCATATATATGCTGTTACGATGTATTATGTATATTGAAGAAAAACAAATTAGTTGTAAAGCCTTTTTCTAACAATAGAAACAGCGAGCTGATTAAAACATTTAGGCCTCTTATATTCACAATAATATAAACGATGTTGTTTCACAAAAAAGAACTACATCTCAATAAAACAATGATAACAATAAAAAGTTAACTTTCGGCGAATAAAATACAGTACCTGTATGATTATATTGGAAGAACTACACAACTAAACTGATCCTTTCTTTTCCTTTTTCTAATGTTTTGTTGAAACAAAATTAGGATAATTATTCTTTTAAAGTTTGAATAAATCATGTATAACTACAAGATGGATGATTTTTTCTGACGAATGGACATTGCTCTTTCTCTTTTCAATGTAGAATATATTCTTTGTTCCAATTCATTTCAGTAATCTAATGAAAAATTAAGTATCCATTTCGAAAGACGATTCGTCCGTGTTTATATATTATTTGAGGAGAAGTATATTCATAAATAGAATTTTTGTATTATGTGGAAAATGAATAAAAATGGAAAACATAAACAACAATCAATACAAAATGGTAAGAATTTGTAAAGAAAAATGATTTCATTATCTCAATGTGAGAATGATTCAGAGAGTTACGATTAATGTCAATGTAAAATAATGTTAACACTGTATTCATTAGGTAAATTAAAGCAAACACTATCTTTTAGTATTCTAAGGTTGTTTAAATAATTGTTTATTACAACAACACATTCTAATGTACTTTTTTCGAATGAAAAATATTCATCCACAAAATGTTTGTCCTGTTTTTCTTTCATTTGTATATTGCTATGATGTATTGTATATGCAAAAGAAGAAAAAGTTAGTTGGAGAATCTTTTCGATTTTTTCTTCAAAAATAAAACGATAGAAACTGAATATCCGTATACACATCTAGATTTTTTATAATCATAATAATGCTAACTATGTTGCTTCACAAAAAAAGTATATTTAAAAAAATAATTATGGCACGGAAAAGTTAACTTCTTTTGTGAATAGAAAACAATACATTCATGATTACATTAGAAAAACTATTAAACAGTTAATGACGACGGCTCTCTCTTCCAATATTTTGTTGAAGAAAAATATTTTTTCCTAATTTGAATATAATATACACAACTTCAAAATAAATGATTATTTCTTTTTTTCTTCTTCTGATTCTAATGACAATGGATTGTCTGTTAAAGAATATATTTGATACACAAATATATTGATAATATAATATTTAATAGAGAAAAAGAAATCACTGATAATTGAGAGAATAATAACAATTTAAATCTTAAACATGAAATGACACTTAAAAATAGAGTTAATAATGATATTATAAGGGTGTGGGTGTGGGTGTATCTACTTTATCTACACCTACACTTACACTCACACCCAACTTTAAGACCAAGAAAATATTCTTTCTGTAACTGTTTTTTTCTGATACCTCAATTTATCTTATCGAAAAATCTATTTGTAGTTTCAAATAAATCTTTATTTGTTTCCATAACTTTTTTTGTTGTTTTCAGCGTAAACCCTATTATATCTTTTTTCGATTATGAATTTTATTAATTATATCATATTTATATTATTATGAAATTGTTGAGAAAACAGAAAAATAATGCCTTTCTCAATTTACATATGTTTCACTTATTTACCAGAAAAATTTTCGGCGTAATAATATTCGATTCTATAAATTGTACTACACGACTTCATACAAATCTATTGTATTAATTCAATAAATAAATAGTTGTATAGTATAATATCTAAGATGTTATAATCAATATGGTTTCTATTCTAAAAGATCTTTGATCAATTATTTCTTCATTTTGGTCATGGAATATTGTGTGTTTTTAAACTTCCATTGAATACGTATGTAGAGAGAAGTTATGATTTATGGTATCACTATTCACTCTATTCTCAAGTGGCACTTCATGTCTACGACTATAATTGTTACTATTTACTCAACCAACAGTGATCTATTCTTCTCTATTACAATAACAACAGATATAATTATAATACTATCAAGTTGATATTAATTCGAAGTAAAAAGATAAACGAACATTTTTCGATGTCGAGTAATATAAAACTCATGAATCAATGTTTTATCGTCAATAAATCTTCGAATTATAATTTTTACGTTCTACATAATTTTCAACAAACAATTCAGTGTCATTAGAATCTAAAATAAATAACATAGATCGTTAGCCGTTGAAAATATTTATGTGCATTGGCGCTGTACATGATATATTCAAACTTGGAGATATTAATTATTTTTTTTCCAACATAATATTGAAAGAAGGAGTAGACGTCATCAACTTAGTTTGGCCGACTTTCTAATGTAATCATAGAGATATTGTTTTCTTTTCTTAGAACGTTACCGTTTGTTACCGTAATTATTTATTTACATTTAATTTTTTTTATAAATAAAACAAAGTTTTTATTATTGTGATTATAACCGATAGATGCTGTCTGAAGAAACATTGAAAAGAATTTCCAATTACTTTTTTTCTTTGCTTGCATACAAAATATATAATATATCATATCAATATACAAATAAAAGAAGACGAAAGAAAAATAAGGTAAATATTTACTAGATCAATATTCTTCATCGAGAAAGAAAGAGTTTTGAACGTGTTGTTATGATAAAAAATTATTTTAGGATACTAATAAAACTGTTGTTTTTTGTTCTAAATTAATACTATTTTACATAAAGATGAATCGTAACTGTTTGAATTATTTTTCTCATTGATAAAGAAAAATGTGATTATCTATTGAATTACAAGTCATAATATTCTCCTATCAATCAAAAACGCAAGAATAGAAATGATATGACAGAAAAACAAATGAGAGTTTCTCGAAATGTTGTTATACTGTATATTACGGACACTCGAAAAATCCAAATGTAGTTAGTTTGAGTTAAGAAGACTGTATAGTTTGTTTCAGTTCTCTTGTTTGATCAAACAACTCATCTGATCATTCTCCGTTCAGTTACTAAAGACGGTCTTTATTCCTCATGTTTTTCATCTTTATTCATTTTCCATCTAACTCAGAAAGTCTATTTAGGAAAATATTTGTTCTTGAATAATATTTAAACACAGGAAAATCATTTTTTCCGAACGGATAAGTTGTTTTCAAAATAAAAAAAGTCAAGATTGATTTTTCATTATATTGATCAAATGAATTGAGAAAAAAAGAGAGAAAGAAACAAAAAAAAATAGAATTTATTGTTCAACAATTACTTTCTCTTCTATTATGAGTTACATTCATTTCATCAACTTCTAATATCTGGCTAGTGATGGCTTCGAAAAGAGTTTGCTTATGGCTTTTATTTATGGTTATTACACAAGTAAACGGAGAAGATATACGATCAGTGAAAATATCGTTAATGATTAATTCCAAATTTCAATGTGCGAATACAACTTGTTTACCATTCATTAATGTTATTACATCAAACATTAGGTATTGTCAAATAGCCTGTTTAGCTCAAAGTCAATGCACAGCAGCAACTTTTCATCGATCAACTTCTAATTGTGAATTATATGCTGATATGTTGAACCAAAACGGAAACATGTCGGTTGATGTGGATGCGACTAGTATGAATATTATTAATGGGACACGAGTTCCGTCGGGTCAGTATAAATCTTGAGGATGTGGATGTAATATTGCACCTCGTTAAATCTTACCGAAAAATTTAACTTGAACTGGAAATATGTCATACAGAAATGTTTCTATCCCACAAAGAATCTCGTAATAGTATAACTAAATACACTCCAATAATCAAGAATTTTGAGAAGAAAATCATCAATGAGACCAATCTTAGTTCATTCGATTTTGTGATAGATATTACATACTCTGATCTTTTCTCTCTTACATAGATTTGGTTTCTGATCAGAATCTCATCTTAAATGAAAATGAAAGAGTTCAAGAAAAGAATCAATATGCAAATATAGTATGACTCAATCGGTGTAATTCAAAAAGTTTCTTTATTATTAAACTTATAAAAAATGTAAATTGAGTTATCAAAATTATAATAATAGAGATATAGTTAAAGTAAATATCGTAAAATTACA